CACCCATTATCACTTTTCTTCTAATTTACCTCTCATTTGGATCCGAATTTAATTTCGTTGTTACTGATTCTTGATTCTGAATATTTTTGGTATCACCTTTATTCTAATTTGATTCCATATTAGTTAAACTTACCATTACTTCCTCAATTAAAAACAACAACAACAACAAAATACAGCTATACATAAGAATCATATTCTTTATTTTAAAATTCAGTAATAATTGGAGTAGAGATGTACAAAAATTATTTATGTATTTATTACCAATCCAAGTTTACTATGATAAAAAGAAAAATCGTTTAAAAAAGTAATTTGTAAATTAGTAAATAATAACTAATGTAATTTTTAGTAAACATATTACGGTTTTCCGGTGGGTCAGCGGTAACCATGTGGACTTCCAACATTAGGATCTGGGGTTCCAATCCCACTGTAGCTTGATTGCAGATAGTCCACAACGATAACATTCTGTAAAGTTACGTGACTTTATTTCTGATCATATTTCAGTTCTTATTTTCGAATATTCCATGTATAACATTTAAAACAGAAAACCTAACTAAATAATAACATACATATATTTATTTTTTCTGAGAGTCTTAGATGGTTCTTGATTGTTTTTTAAAGTTTGCAAGAAAGTCATATATGCGGTTCGCAATAGGGTAAGAAATGCTTCTATGAAAAAAATTAATAGACAAAATATAAAAAAAACAGCATTTGTTTTTTGTGCAATGGAATCCCGAACATTTCTCTCTGGTGTTGCCTATCGTTATGCCACATATAAGTGAATAATGAGAGACGTTTATTTTCAGTAATAACGAATACAAGGAAGTAAGGATCAAAGACAAAAAATAAAATGATATGACGCAGAACGCTTCATAAATGTTTCATATACATCAATATTGATGAAGTTTTAGCACCTTTCTTCCGTAATCATGGTTTACATAATTGTGTGACAATATACATAAAGATAGAATGTATGTTTAATACAATATGTTCAACCTGTTTTCGCAATAATTTATTTAAAGCGAATTATGCTGTCTGTCTCTAAAACTGAAAGAAACAACGTTTTTATCGCAAATATGTATCAACAAAAAACGCGAGTCAACCAGTTCTAAGAGACATAGCGTTTGAAAAGTTCTGTCATTACAACAAGTATATCCCAGCAACCAGTTTCAAGAGGCATAGCGTTTAAAAAGTTCTGTCATTACAACAAGTATATCCCAGCAACCAGTTTCAAGAGACATAGTTCTGTCATTACAACAAGTATATCCCAGCAACCAGTTTCAAGAGACATAGTTCTGTCATTACAACAAGTATATCCCAGCAACCAGTTTCAAGAGACATATCGTTTAAAAAAATCTGTCATTACAACAAGTATATCCCAGCAACCAGTTTCAAGAGACATAGCGTTTAAAAAGTTCTGTCATTACAACAAGTATATCCCAGCAACCAGTTTCAAGAGACATAGCGTTTAAAAAGTTCTGTCATTACAACAAGTATATCCCAGCAACCAGTTCTAAGAGACATAGCGTTTAAAAAGTTCTGTCATTACAACAAGTATATCCCAGCAACCAGTTCTAAGAGACATAGCGTTTGAAAAGTTCTGTCATTACAACAAGTATATCCCAGCAACCAGTTTCAAGAGACATAATCTAAATCTTCTTTAGGTCGGTCTGTTGAAACACCTCTCTAAGTCGCTATGCTGAAATCTTCTTTAGGTCGGTCTGTTGAAACACCTCTATAAGTCGCTATGCTTAAATCGTCTTTAGGTCGGTCTGTTGAAACACCTCTATAAGTCGCTATGCTGAAATCTTCTTTAGGTCGGTATGTTGAAACTCTTCTCTAGCTCAGTATATTGAAACTCTTCTCTAAGTCGGTATGTTGAAACTCTTCTCTAGCTCAGTATATTGAAACTCTTCTCTAAGTCGGTATGTTGAAACTCTTCTCTAGCTCAGTATATTGAAACTCTTCTCTAAGTCGGTATGTTGAAACTCTTCTCTAGCTCAGTATGTTGAAACTCTTCTCTAGCTCAGTATGTTGAAACTCTTCTCTGGGTTGGTATTTGAAAACTTTTTTATTTGATATAAATGGAAAATTTGTAGTTATTGTTTAGTACTACAATTGGAAAAAATTACGTTGGTTCATGTAAAATGATTTTCTTCTCTTTATAGTAATAACATTACTTAATTGTAATAACATTACTTAACATTAGTAATAACATTACTTAATTGTCCACTAGCCGTCTTTTTGTTCCGTTTGAAGTGAATATTAATCAGAAAAAAGGCATGCAACTTTTTACGCTAGCTTTCAAAATGTTGCTAATTCTCAGGGCAGACTAGGTGAACAATTGACATATAGTATATTTAGATATACCATATATCGTTCAATGCATCCTCGTGCTAACGCGATTTCATACGTCACTATTCCCAGTTCCTTATGTGATTAGGTCACGTTATACAGAATTGGGGTTAATTGGACACACTAGTAGCACTGCCAGGATATAACGAGGATTTGTATCGTGGCTTTAATTAGACTTCGTCGCGGTATCTTTTTCTACTTTTAAGAGACTTTCTGAGTTAATTGGCATATAATATTTTATGATCTTTGGATATTTCTTATATTGAATCCGTCTTCTCTACACTTAACTCACATTATAAAATATCTAGAGAGATGCTAATTTACCATAGGCATCTATCTATCTGATTAAATAAAGCTGAATTTATAACTCAACATCCTGAAATCACTTTATTATCTGGTGTTTAAAAAAACACTTTGTAGCTCGGAAAACCAGGATCAGATTATAACTCAGTATATAAAGATAAGTTAATATCTCGTTATACCAAAACCAATTCGTAGCTCACTATATTAAGATTCATTTGTAATCATTATACCAGAACCAGTTTTTAATTAAGTATACTAAGATCAGTTTCTAACACGGTAAACAAAATCACTTTATATTTCGTTATATCAAGGTCATTATTCCAGGATCAGTTTGTAGTTCGGTATAATAAGATCAGTTTGCAACTCGGAATACCAATATTAGTTTGTAAATCGATATAATAAGATCAATTTGTATCCAGGTATACCAGAATAAGTTTGTTATTCGGTGCATTAAGATTAATTTGTAATTCGATAAACAAAATAATTTTTTATTTCCATATTCCAAGATCATTTTGTAACTTGACAGACCAAGATTAGTTTGTAACTTGAGATACCAATATTAAATTACAACTCAGAATAACAAGATCGATTTGTAAATAGGCATAGCTGGGTCAGTTTCTAACTCGGTACATCAAGAATAATTTGTAACCCGGTTCACCAGGATCAGCTTTTAACTCAGTATAGAAAGACCAGTTTGTTTCTCCTTATACCAAGATCATTTTATAACCCGATGTAACAAAACTAGTTTGTAACTCGGTATATTAACATTAGTTTGTTACTTGACACACGAAGATTAGTATGTATCTCAGCATACGAAGTAACTAGTTATACCAAGATCAGCTTGTTACTGAGTATACTGAGGTAACTTTGTAAATTCAGTATACTATATCAATCTGTAACTCGAAAACAAAGATTAATTTGCAACTCGTTATACCAGGATCAGATTGTCACTAGGTATATCAATATCAGTCTGTAACTTGACATACCAAGATTAATTTGGAACTCGGTATACTACATCAGTTTGTAACTCGACATACCAAAAATTAATTTAGAACTCGGTATACTACATCAGTTTGTTACTCGACATACCAAAATTGGTTTGTAACTCGGTGTACTACATCAAGATCATTTTATAACCCGATATAACAAGATTAATTTGGAACTCGGTATACTACATCAGTTTGTAACTTGACATATCAAGATTAATTTAGAACTCGGCATACTACATCAAGATCATTTTATAACCCGATATAACAAGATTAATTTGGAACTCGGTATACTACATCAGTTTGTAACTTGACATACCAAGATTAAGTTATAATTCAATGTACCAAGATCAGTTTGTAACTCGATATAGCAAGGTTACTTTGTAACCTGGAATAATACAATCAATTTGTGATTTGGTTTACCAGGATCTGTCTTTAACTCGACATACAAAGATCAGTTTGTAACTCCGTATGCGAAGATCAGTTTTGAACTTGGAATACCAAGATTAGTTTGTAACTTATTATACAAAGATCAATTTGTAACTGTGAATAGGCAGATAGCCCAGTTGCTTTGTGCCAAGAAGTCCCAGTAACTGAGTTTATCAAGATCTATTTATAACTGTGTATACAATGGTGAGTCTGTAACTAAATGTACTAAGATCATTTTGAAACTGAGTGTGGTATGATCAGTGTGTTACTAAGTATACTAATGGGGTGTGCGGAGATCAGATTGCAACTCGGTAAATTTCGGTTTATTTTATGATGAGGTATTCTGTGGCAGAGAAGTTAAAGTTCTTTTTTTATTACAAAATAAAGAAACTTAAGAGCTTCGTGTTTAAACGTCTATCGTGGTCGGTTGAGACGTGCATGTGAGCATTGTACTTCAGTAACGTTGTTTTTACCGAAACGGTGATTTTTTATTTTTACTGATATAAGATTAAACCATAGAAGTGTTACCGGTAGAAAAAAAAAGTCTTAATTTTCTGTCCGTGAGTATTATGAGCTTTCTGACTTTCCAAAACGATTACGTCGTACCTCACAACAGAAAGTAATTCATTTCCAAGTGCATGCACGTGGTACATCCCGCAAACAATGTTCAATACTCTCACGTGCCATATTCATCACACATTATAGGTTTTGTTACTCCTCCAGCCAAAAACTATGTTTCACAAGAGACATTTTAGAGAGACGATATTCTGCCTCAGAATAAGTAAGATTATTTGTCTTATTTATTAGAGAGACACGATCACGTGGCTTTCCATTTCCTCCCTTTCCCCCACCTCTCGGGGCTGAAACGGGTACATGACTCTGCTACTAGACTGACTGTGTCTTTCAGTGTTCTTGCTGTGCATGCGGAAAGAAGTTGAGGTTGCTTATTTGCCTCTAGGTCTTAACTGATTGAAAGAGGATCTTGAACTTAAATACAGAAAAGGATGTTTTAACTCTGCGCAACGTTTTTCTAACGTTTCTTTCACTTTTAAAGAACATACTAGTGATTCGTAAGTACATCATGTTATAGATATTTAGTTCACTTAAGGAATACTTTACAAACAAAATTTTAAAAATGCATTTCTAGATTTTATAATTTTAGGCTTTTTGCTGTTTGATCATTGATTTAAAGATCGTTTAGATTCGCATAAGATAAAAATATCCCTCCATAAAACAGTCTTAAGTCATATATCTGCTCTTTCATAACATGTTTTAATGTATGATTTAAATAGCAACTTTATGTTAACGAGTCGTTTGTTTGTAATTAAGCACAAAGCTACACAATGGGTTATCTGTGCTCTGCCAACCACGGGTATCGAAACCTGGATTCTAGCGTTGTAAGTCCGCAGACATACCGCTGTGACACTGGGGGGGGGGGAGCGTAACGAGTCATAACTGCTGTTATTGCGTTAAACTGTTTACAACTAGTTTTAATTGTGGATATGTAAAGATGAGTGGATTTATTGTTGTTTATAGATTGGTTTATTTCTGTACATGATAAGTGAACAAATATTAGAAATTTCTGTCATTTTTTTTTAATTCAACCAAAAATTAAATCAGGGCAATGATTTTCATTTCTGCGATAATTTGAGTTACGGTCTTGATTGATTGTTCGAGCCCTCCAGTGGCGCAGCGGTATGTCTTCGGACTTACAAAGCTAGAATCCGGGTTTCGATACCCGTGGTGGGCAGAGCACAGATAGCCCATTGTGTAGCTTTGTGCTTAACTTCAAACAAACAAACAAACAAAATTGATTGTTCGATTGAATTCAGATGCAAAATTAAATATTTTTTACCATTTCACATTCATAAAGCCACTGTTATGTCTGAATGTTGGTTAATTATTTTATTATTGTAAAATAATAATCTACTAACGTTATATTATATATAGTTAAATACAATAAATATTTGGTAACTTCATTCTTCTACGCATACCTTATAATCGTTACATTAGTGAAATAAAAAGTACCTTTTTTTAAACCAGCAACCGTTATTATTCAGGGAAAAAATTCAAAATTCAAAACTTTCAACTAAAAAAAACTCAGCAAACGTGCATTTTGTGCTCACGACCTGATGGTATTATCACACATTCTTATAAAATTTTCTGTTCAGCATTTATGGATTACAAATAGTGCGTTTTTATTTTCGTAAACTAATTATGTTCTTCTTAAAGAGTTGGGTGATTGCTTAGGACGGATATCCTTCATGAACAGGTTGTTTGTAATCTGTAACTGAATAAATAAAGACTCAAACAAAGATATTCTAAGAATGGGACAAACAGTTATTTTAGTTGGATATCGGATAGTAGATGTGGCCATAAATATTGAAAATTGGCTTCAGCCGTGAGCTACCATTTCATTATAGTATAATATTGAACTAGTTACTTTGACATTGCTTTTTTAAAATGTAATATAGAAGTATAGTTCCGCATAATTAAGTGGCCATTGCAGGCCCATTAAGGGAATGCGACATGCGACGGAATGAGATAGTGCTTTATACTCTCGAGTCTCCACTGAGACTGTTGTTTGGATTGTGCTTACCGTTGCTGTTACTGCTTCTGCAGTGCCCACCTGTGACATACAGTGGAAACTCAAAGGGTGGACGTGATGTTTATTTAAACTACATAATGATTATGTGTATTACAACTAGCAAGATTCCTACTTATGAATACCGGGAAAATACTACTATGTTTAGAAGTTAGTAGAAAGCACAAGTGTGCCAGATGATGCAATACCTATTATGTGTGACGCACTTGCAAGTAGTATCATCTGTGTGAAATATTCTGATATAATCCATTGATGGAAATACTGCTATCTGGTTATCCGATTCCTTACAAATTAATATCCGATTAGATCGGATTTCGTCGGATAGTGCAATATCCAGTCAGATCAGATATTTGTCTCATCCCTTTTTTATAAGTAACTGAGCATTCACACTACGTCTGATGTAAAATCACGTCAATAGGAGGGCATTATATCAGCAGAATAAAAATATACAAATTAAAAATGTCGCAAAATAGAATGTAGCATTTCAGAAAATGTGAGTTGCTGTCTGATAAACATTGTAACTCAGTTTTAAACCTTACGTGTCTTCAAGAGAGTTTAACCTGCCAGTAGATTAATATTCAAGTTCAGTTTCAGAATGTTTTTCAACGTACAACCAATTACTAAGGTCATCGGTCACTTTAGCTTAAGTTTAAGAAATGATCCTATATATATACACACACACACAGAAGTTCATTACGTTATATTAAAACGATTTTGGAGCCTCGCCATGTCAGTACAATCTATGCCACTACGTCAAGTCATGTTCTGCCTGACAACTGTGCATCTTGACAAGAGCTGTGCATCATAGTTTCTATTGCAGATAGCTCCGCCGTAAAGTTATCAATTTTAAAGCACACCACTCCTCCATACAGGCTTTCTCTAATCCATATACTGTACAAGAACGACGGTTTCCTAGCGCATGCTTAAAAGTCTAGTTCCATAGAAATGTATAAACGCTACGTCCTGGGACTTGTCCAATATATTTGCGAATGTAATAGCATGAATTATGTTTCATTCTCCAGCTGCTTGAAGTATTCGATGGTTAAATGGAGATATGACTGGAAGTCTTATTTATGTGAACTCATACCTTGTTGTCCTTGTTTCAAGACATAAATCCTTCTAGGTTGTGTTGCATGCTATTTCATGTAGCACGTGAACAGCTTTTGCCACTAATATTTGTGCTTGTGAATTCTCACCTGTTACCACGGCTGGATTACAACTTGCTGTAGGTCATTTTTTGGACGTTCCTAGTGTCCCAAGTTCATTCATACTCCTTTATTTTCCAATGCATTTAATTACAGGTAATATCCCCATCTTAGAAATGATAAATTCCCGATCTGAACACATCTTCATGATTTAAATGTACGAATATTTTGCACCAGAATGAATTATTACAACCCTTCTTAAAAGTGACCAATTTTCGGCGGTATCACATTATCTACGTTACTCCAAACAATGTCAAATGTAATTCTGATTAATGCTATTCCACAGTGACTTTATATCGAATGTAATTGTTGCGTGACTTGCTGATTTGAATATTCAAAATCTTTTAATACAACATACTCAACCCTATATACCTATAAATATTTTATTATAAATACATTTAAGTCAGTCTAAAAGCGCTGATCTCTAATATGTCCTTCAGCAACGAAACTATACATGGAAACATTTGTGAAACATACTGTAACATTGTAAAAGCTTAATTAACCCTACAGACTTACAATATGCTGAACCATAATGATAGCATACAATCGTATTTGATGAGTAAGCTCTTTGTTCTCTTTAGATCAGGACACTTGGTTAAGATTTATCGATGTAATGTCAAGGAATGTTTCCTAAATATCCTGTGGTATGTTACACAATTCCAAAGGTTCTTATTTACCTATTGACATGATTTTTTTTTCGATCCAGCTCCTTATTTCCTCAATGATGTTCAAGTCCGAATTTTGGACAAGCTAAGGCGGGAATTCTAGCACTGACGGTTAGCTGATTTATCACTCTCTTATTGGGTGGATGACAACCAGTAACAGAGTACCCCATCAATATATATGTATATATCTATTTTATGCGTTCTGATCAATGTACAAGGTCTGGACCCATAGGGAAAATAGACATTATTTTCTTAAAGTTAAACAAACACGTATCTAATGTCAGTTCTACATATTTCAGGAAAGAAAATGTCCTGATGGCACAGTATACCAAGTCATGTGTATGACTGTTAATAGCATCCAATTTTAATAATAAATAAATAAGGAATACATTGTGTATTTTTCCCTATGGGTCCAGACTTCTGGGACATCCTGTACAAGTATGTGTTTGTAATAAGTCATGTAGGAATATAAATATCGTGTATCCTGTAATTCTGATATACTGAAATTTATCAGTAAAGATGACATTTTAATACTTCCAAAGTCGTTTGCCGCCACCGATACGTTTTCTGGACTGACCTATTCGGTTAGCATTAGGGTAAACACAGTTTGGGTGTAGTAATTTCACTGTTAAATCGTCATTAGTTTGTATTAATTAAAACGCAGATAAGACAAACATGCATTCCCTCCAAATTGGCCTTTGTTCTAGGAGAAACTCCTAAACTTAGTCTTGACCACTGCTGTTTGTTCACATGATGTGGACATTTTAAAGAGATTAAGTGATGAGTGAGCTTCATATTAGTTCTTGTTGTCGTAGCAAGCTACTTACTTTTGGTTTTGTTTTGTTTGTGTTTTGTTTTAATTTCGCGCAAAGCTACACGATGGCTATCTGCGCTAGCCGTTCCTAATTTAGCAGTGTAAGACTAGAGGGAAGGCAGCTAGTCATCACCATCCACCGCAAACTCTTGGGCTACTCTTTTACCAACGAATAGTGGGATTGACCGTCACATTATAACGCCCCCACGGCTGAAAGGGTAAGCATGTTTGGTGGGATGGGGATGCGAACCCGCGACCCGCAGATTGCGAGTCGAGCGTCCTAACCACCTGGCTATGCCGGGCCGCTTACTTTTGGATAAAACTAATATCAACCCGGTATGGGTAGAGCTAATTGAATACACTTTTCTTACTTATAAAGGTTATAATGCATTGTTTCATCAGTTGGGTACCGTCGCTGTTAACGATATTTTAGTCCGTAAAGCTAACAACACAACACTTCATGATGTTCAGGAGATTTAGGTTAGTCACAAATCCATATATTAAGCTAACAATGCGAAACAATCTCTATAATACAGTATAATAACAAAAATAAATAATAAAACTAGATAAACAAAGTATTCTGTCTCCCAGTAGGACAGCCGTGAGTTTACAAACTTACAGCAATAAGGTCCGGCGTTCGATTCCACGCGGTGAACACAACAGATAGCCCAATATAGCTATGCTCTAAAACAAACTAACCAATACTGTTAACGCAAGTGGCATTAAAGAAAGAATAGAATATACCTCATATACATAACACGCATGTAAAGAGCGAATTTGTTGATGTAACGGTACTTGACAGATTACAGCTTCTTATGAAATATTTTTATACGAATATAGCATCCATCATCATCATAAGAATTATTTAACTACACTTATAGTCTTCATATCTGGTAGATTACAGCTTCTTATGAAATATTTTTATACGAATATAGCATCCATCATCATCATAAGAATTATTTAACTACACTTATAGTCTTCATATCTGGTAGATTACAGCTTCTTATGAAATATTTTTATACGAATATAGCATCCATCATCATCATAAGAATTATTTAACTACACTTATAGTCTTCATATCTGGTAGATTACAGATTTTTATGAAATATATTATGCAATATAAATAAGAAATCTGGGAATTTATGATATATAAAGAACGGTACTTAGAACGGGTCCTTGAAGACAGGATCGGAATGAAAAGGAATGACTTATAAAGACAGTGAGTTGGTGGATTAATGCATGGTTTCTGTTACGTCATTTACTGTCATGATAATTTATATCTCAACAGTAAACAAACGATCACTTGAATCTATACTACTCCTATGTTATATTATTTAATTAGAACAGAGAACGTCTTGTTTGTTTTTCACGAAAAAAAAGAGACGTTAAAAAGATAGTTGAAAGTTGAATTAGAGAAAACAGTTTGTATGTTGTGTGTATGGAAAAAACAGTATTTATAAAAATATATGGTAAGTTATTTAGGAAAAGAAAATGGTTCATACGTTGTGTTATTAGAAATAGGTTGATATGGATAAGAGTATAAAGTCAGATGGATTAGATAAACTGTGTATATGTTGTGCAGAGAAGAAACAGTGTTTGTTTGTTTGTTGCTAAGCGTAAAGCTACACAATTGGCAGTCTGTATTGTGACCACCACGACTATCGAAACCCGGATTTGAACATTATAATCCTTTAAACGTACCACTGAGCCATTGGGTAGGTGGGGAGGGGCAGAATAAACAAAAACGGACAAAAGTACTAAGGTATTCAAGATACAAAGAAGAGTTCCGTGTGCATTTTTAGCAGCTCGTGTTGAATCAGTGGAATTCGTCTTTTTCGCTAAAATTATAAGACCGCCCCCTTTTCTTTTCTTAATAGCACTAAACACATATTTTATCTTATTTTAACTTAGTCACCTTGATCCTTGAATTTAACCTGCAAATAAATAAATATAGAGCCCAGATTTCTCTCTTCGAAAAGCGGTAAGTCTGAAGGCTTGTACTGGTAAAAACTGGGTTTCGATACCCGTGGTGGACACAGCACAAATAACCCGGTGTGTGGTTTGTGCTTCATAATAAATGAACCCTTTGAAAAAATTCAAGATGCAAATTTTAATGGTTCCCTTAAACGGGTTATTCTGATGCTATAAAAAACCCGAAGAATTTGCAACAATGACAATTGCCAATTGTGTAGAAAACGTTCTTAATTTAATTTATACTATTAAATCGGCTCTAAACTTGAATTATAAGATCTATATTATTTGTATTACATTTATCTATATAGTTTTCTTGAGGGACTGTGGTACCGTAAGCTGTAGTAACTAACATCTTAGAACATTTGGAAATTTTTTGTCATTTGTTTTTACTAAATAATTAAAGTCAATTATATAAATACCATTAACATTTGACTGATTTGAATTATTTTGGTCTTTTATTTTTTAAAACTGAAAATAAAAGTAGTCACTTTTACTCCACAGACAAAATTCCTGATACACTGAACTGATAAGTTGTGTGGTTAACATACCGCCTTGTGGATCAAAAGGTCCAGGGTTCGAACCGCGACATGCTGCACTTTTATCTACGAAAGTGTTCTATCTGTATGAGGTAATCACGCCATTTAGCTACAATAATCGTAATAAGCAGGCTAATTGCTTACTTTTGCAACTTATCTGGTTAACACTTCTAAATTAAGTTGTCTTGATATGACTGTCTGGCTCATATGTTGCATAAGGTACTGTTGATATTGAAACTACCAGACGAAAGGATGAAGTTAGATCATTCTTTTAAACAATAATGATACGGTTGTTGTTTGTGAAGACGGAAATGTGGACATACTGCAAACGATTTCTAGAGTTCTCGTGAATAACAGTATAAAATATTGTAAAATAAATAGAAAAACATTTTCATTTGAAAATAAGTAGAGCAAAATATTTCATGTTTGCTCCTGGAAAAGAAAGGAAAACAATAATAAAAAACAACTTGTAAAAATAAAATTTTCTATTAATATCTCTTTATGACTTTGAGAACGTTCATTGTAATTTTTAAAAGAAATAGTATTTTCTTCGTAGTGTAATTTTGTCGATTCCAACATTTAGAAGTCACTTTACGAGACGCCATCACTGTTACGAAATGAGTTTTTCTGGAACTACTTTTTCTATCAATGTTCATTATGTTTTGTGGATTAATTAATAACGACTGAAAATATTAATGATAATGTAAAAGTAAATAATGGAGCTTTTTATTCAAGTGTAAGCACCATTTTCTATGGGTGTTGCATTTACAAAAATTACTTGGTTATTTTACCGATTGACATGAAATGATGTGGCTTGAAACTCCTTGTTTTCTTATCAATATTTAACATGTGATTGTTGAACAATACATAACAACACTAAGAAACCACATTTTTCCTAGAATAAAATTCAGTATTGTTTCATTATCGTTTCTCAGAGTCAAAAAAAGATGTATTAGAAAGGGGGAAAATTATAATTTTCACTTCGAGTAAAGTTTACCTTTTTACACAAAATATCTAACATTTAGTGTTTCATTCTTGGAACTTTTTAAATATATGAAGCTTTAATTGTTTGTAATTTTTTGCTGTAAAATAATCAGCGTTTTACTGTTACTAAAAACTTGTTCTGCAGAGCGAAGAAATATCAAACATCATGCCTGAATCTCTCGTCTCCCAAGTGGGACAGTGGTAAGCCTGCGGACTTACAATGCTAAAGTCTGGAGTTCGCTCTATGTGGCTTTGCTCTCAAACAAACAAAACAACACACGAATCAGTAACATTTCACATATAAAGAAACAAAACCACACACAAATCAGTAACATTTCACATATAAAGAAACAAATCCACACACGAATCAGTAACATTTCACATATAAAGAAACAAATCCACACACGAATCAGTAACATTTCACATATAAAGAAACAAATCCACACACGAATCAGTAACATTTCACATATAAAGAAACAAAACCACACATGAATCAGTAACAATTCACATATAAACAAAACAAACCACACATGAATCAGTAACATTTCACATATAAAGAAAGAAAACCACACACATATCAGTAACATTTCACATATAAAGAAACAAAACCACACACGAATCAGTAACATTTCACATATAAAGAAACAAAACCACACACGAATCAGTACCATTTCACATATAAAGAAACAAAACCACACACGAACCAGTAACATTTCACATATAAAATATTTTTAGTGGTTACCTATATCTATGTGTAACTTAAATTTCATAGAAAAAGCAAAGTTCAAAAATTGGCAATTATATTTCCAACTAACGGTCCAACAACAGATGAGCAGCGTTAAAGCTAGAAAAGTACCCTATGCATTCAGAGTAATATCAAAATCTGAAGCTCTTAGAATAAGTTAACTATTTTAAAAAGAAGAGCTCACAGCTCTTGAAATACTTCAGTGAAATATATGTGATGTTAGAAACATTTTTCGTACTTTATTGTTTGAGAGATGCCTGTGATGTTTCTTTAATAACATTAACGATTGTATTCTCCGTTTTTCTGTAACACTTCTAGAACTTCGAATATGATTAGAAACAGTTATTATAAAGAAAATAAAATAATTATCGTAATCTCCGTTATACTGTAACAGGTTTAAAATGTCCGTATTATTTACAAAACATTGGAGCCTGTGACTGTTAGCTTTTCTTTAAAAGAGCTATTCTCAGTCACGTTTTGAGTTTTAGAAACGTTCAAAATAATAAAGGCAGGTGTCCGGCTTTCATTGGCTGATGCTTTATCGACATAGATTATTTATTTCTTAGTTTATTGTCTTTTACTTCTAGAATGTGCAAAAGATGTGTGCACCCGATTAACGTCGTTGTTAAAGTGATAAAACACTTAAAATTTAAAAAGAGTTACTAATAGCCAAACTTGAATAATGTTTGTTTATTTTTATCGGCAAGTATAAATAGACCATGTTTTACTCAAGCAAAAGTGGCATACATTTCAGCGTCCCGCTCTATTCATTAAATTGACTCGCATCTACATTTTTACAGACGCTAGTTACAAGACATGATAACCTTCCCAAGTTGTATTAGTGAAAACTAGCGACCTATTTTTTAACTTTATTCGTGTAATCCGGAAGTGTAGTTCTTCCGTTAACACTACACGGTGTTCTTAGCGGTTCTTCCAAAAATTATGAGAAATGTAATTAAACGAAAGGGGATCTGTGTAACTGAATATAAGTGATACTGACGTTTTTGGCTACGTTTTTGAAACGTTGGTTTCCTAGAAAAATTGCGTGTCCTGTCCAACTATATTAGCTATGTCCTGTCCAACTATATTAGCTATGACCTGTCCAACTATATTAACTTAACTAAATGGATTAATATCAATATCAAACTCAAAGTGAAACCTAATGTTTGTACATTATATGAAGATCAAGAGAAAGTCGTAGACCACATATTAGAAGAACTGGTTATGTTAATTGCCCTTTAATATTTCCCCTGTAAATAATATTCTGTACAATATATACAGGTTCGTTTATTAGCGCAAAATCAATGTTATCGCTTTGAAACCAATATTCTCATAATAGTGTGAAATATGTACAGGTTCGTTTGTTAGAATCAATGTTTGCATAATAGTGTGAAATATATACAGGTTCGTTTATTAGCGCAGAATATTCTTACACACACACACACACACATATATATATATATATACAGAACATTTTGCTAGCTCAGAATGAATGTTATGTTTTGTTTTGAAGTCAATATTCTGATGGTCAGGGAAGCTATGTATATACAGAAAATTTTGATAGCTCAGAATGAACGATATTTTTTGATGTTAATATTATCATCACCGTGTAAAATATACACAAGATTTCTTGCTGGCCGAAAATCAACATTATATTTTTTAGAACAAGTTTTCTTTAAAACGTTCATTGTTTTACTAGAATGATTATACGGTATACATTTTAAGACTTTTGGATGAAAATAGTATTCTATTCTATCAAACGAGTTATTATAGTTGATAAGCCTTGTTTTCTAGCATATCGTTTTTGTTTTTTTTCTAATATCTAAACGGAGAAAATAAGAAACCTATTTTGTGCTAAGACTAATTTCATTGTTGTCCAAAATATACAAGTAGTAGAAACTTTAACTTTCGAGCACTGATTACAAGTTCATTTTCTTTGGAATGTTGAACATGAAGTCAAATTGTTCCCTGTAGTTGTATTCAAATTAATTGATTGTTATTGTTTGTAGTTATGTACAAAGCTACACAATGGGCTATCTGTGCTCTGCCCACCACGAGTATCGAAACCCGGTTTCTAGCGTTGTAATTCCGCAGACATACCGCTGTGCCACTGAGGGGCAAATTAATTGATATATTGTGATAATATGGGAACTTAATGCCTCCTCTAGAAACTACACGAAAAGTTTCATGTTTGTTTGCAAACAAACATGAAACTTTTCGTGTAGTTTCTAGAGGAGGAATTAAGTTCCCATATTATCACAATATATCAATTAATTTGCCCCCCAGTGGCACAGCGGTATGTTTGCGGAATTACAACGCTAAAAATCGGGTTTCGATACTATTTTCTAATAAGATAATTTTACAAAGAAAATTGTTGTTTTTTTTTTGTAAAATTATCTTATTAGAAAATAGCTTTAAAATATTATGTATATATAAGAAACTTATTACTTGTATTTTGATTCTCACATAGTTTACCTTTTTTAATTTTGGAAAATATTTAGTCATTTTTTTTTTTGTTATTTATAATTAGATTTCATAATAAAACGACTGAATGTACAGATAATTATTATTAAATGTTTCTTTGTGCTAAGAAAAGAGTGAACACTACCGTAGCCATGTTTTTTTTAATATACTTTTTTGTTTTTTTTCCTGCGTCCGCTGCAGGAATCGAAGACAGAATTTTAGCGTTATAAGCCCTAAAGATTTTCTCTGATCCAACGATGGATAACCTGTTCCGAGACATCGAGAGCAAACATGTTTCCAACAATCATGATCTAAGTTTGAACACTTAAAGCATTCTGTTTGAACAGCACTTTGAAAATTAATGAAATTGCTAAGTCTTTAAATCAAAGTTTCTCAAGTTGCTGTATATTTAAATCCAGGTTTCCGAAGTTATTCAGTTCACTTAAAGATATTGAAATTGCTATGTCTTTAAAGAAAAAATTTGAAAGGTGTATAAGTTTCCAAAGTTATTCAACTTGTGTCTTCAAAGCAATGTTTTGCTGGGAATTGATCACACTTTATAAGGATGGTGTTCCAGGTCACGTGCTACTTATGCAACTGTTTCCTAAATAGTAGATCGTGCTCGGTTTGATGGATGCGATCACACACTACTGTTTGCCACAGGAATTTTTATCATAACAGCCTTTTGCGAAGAAAGACGAGATCAATCCTAAACCATACTTTTAGACAAACGTTCTACAGACCTTTTTCACTGTATGTAAACGTTAATTTCGAATATCATGTTTAGGTAGACCAACATCACAAACTTCATTGGAGTTGCATCGGTGGACAGACATGTAGTTGATTGGATGGACAGGCATGTAGTTGAATAGGTTTCTTAGTCCATTTTTCTCATGCAAA